TTGGAAGGAATAAATTATTTTAAAAGTTATTAGCATGTTAACTCGGGACATAAGATTGATCTAGTTCATGCTCAATAATAGAAATACAATATAATACATTAATTTTCTTTCTTATATGGAATTGAGGTGTAGATTATTTTATCTAATCGTGACATAAAAGCAAAGCCTTAAACCTTTGTCACTATAAATAAACAAAAAGATGAAGTTTTAAGAATATTAAGGTCGGATGTTTTTATTTATTTTAATTCATTGGTATTCAGGGAACACAGCTTTTCACAATCACTAAGATAATATCTCGATGGGACATTGACACAATTGCACAAAATTTGACCAATTTATATTTTGAGCTTCCAATTTAACAAAACATAAGTCCTTACAATTTGCAACGGATTCAACCCATCAAGTAGATCCCCCAAATTAGTTCACATTAGTTGTGTTGGAATTTTAACCATTTAACATTTGGCATGTTTGAAAACTTTCAGTACACCGTTAATACAAACTCATATTAATAAAACATTACACATTTTAAAAGGATTGCAGTTTTTTATAACTGTTGTCATTATTAGTTTTAACGTTGTACAAATCAAGGATAAACTTACAAATAAGTTCTTTGAAATCTCAAAGTTTTGTTCACTTTTCAAACGGAAACAAAACAACTCACAATAAAAACCCGTTAATCTAAACTGTTATGATAGTTCTTGCTTAGTTTTAACCACGTAGGAACCCGCCTTAGGTTCGAAACGTTAATATGAGCTCAATATGTACTGTGTTTACAGTCTGTTCGCCAAACTACCGTCAAGGTAAATTTAAATATTAAATTACACCATGTTAGTTAGTTAAAGTGTTAGGTATACAATAACTTGATCCGTGTGTTCGAAAGTCAAACGGAAATTGATCATTACATCGCTACATCTTGTACGTAGTTTCGTCAAGAAATATAAATAAAGGATTCATGTTTTCGCATTACATCGAAACTGCAAATATTTCTATATCGTAAATTATTCACCAGATGTTCGCTTAGGAAACCTTAGTATCAGAGTCAGCATCTCACAATAGACAAGACACCGAATAAGTCAAAGGTATGTCTTTCCTAATGGAGCAACACTTAATGGCAGTTCCATGGTACAAATTCGATGATCTACAATTCATTTACGAACTTACTATATATTTTCCGTAGTTTCTTCTTTAAATTCCAATAATACTGATCAACCTTTCACATAACACTTTCTTTGTACAAATAATGGTTAATCTTTAACCACTTTATGCCTTATAACATGTGGATAAGGATATACTGTAAAGTGGGTATTTACTCCTGCAGCAATAGAATATACTAATGACTGATGACAACTAACATACTTTCTTAAGTTCGAATACGCAAGAAAAAGACAAAAACACAAACATACACACAATAGGATATACAGAAAACATCATGGTGCAATAAGTATTTTTTACTGTCTCAATAAACAGAAACGATCTCGTCTGTCACGCTGGAACAGGAAGATACACCAAAACGCGAGACAGGTAGTTAAACCCAGTAGAATATGATAACAATACCGTGATCCAATAAATTCGGAGCAAGAAATTCCTGTTTCCTACAAAGTACTCGGGTAAAATGTGGTCTTTGTGATATTAGTGAAGGAGGTCCCTCCCCGCTCCCCGCACCGCTACCTCGTAGAGATATCGTAACCAGGTAAATGTGGCCAACGTTTGGCTTATTGATACTTGCACGCTCGCAATACTCGCAAGCAGACGACGACGACGACTAGGTATCCTCGTCGCTGAATTTTAATGTTCACTGCCAGCTAGATATTAAAACAGTTGATATCAAGAATGCACATTCAAACCAGTTTACATACAAAATTCAAGATGTTTCAAGAAAGACCTTTTGTGCTTAAGTGTCTATGCATTTCTGTTTGTTTTAGCATTCTTTAATTCCTTAGTTTAGTGTGACTTTTACTTTTGAGGAATAAATACCTATTTTTTTAGAATGGAATGGATTAAATTAGTTTTGTTTATTTGACCCAATCGAATAAATATATTTTTTGATTGGTAGCTGCTCGTATCTACAAAAACAACGTGATACGGTTACATATATTTTCTGTAGTTACATTACATTCATATACAAAATGTTAAACGATCAAAGGAGACAACCCAATTTGACATAATTATGTTAATTGTGTGAAAAGAATTAATCTAAATACTCGTTTGGTTAGTTTTAAGTTAAGTTGTTTCAAGTAACATTTTGTTTTAGTGTAAGGCCACGCATCCTGGAGCGCGGCTTATTGCACTTTGAGGACTAAAGCTGTTTGCTGTGTGAAAGCCCTAAGATGACGATAGTTATACATTCCGCCAGTAGGCTCAATCTCCAGCCTAGTCATCACTTTGACTCGGGTGAGGTAACTTACGCTGCTCGACACCCATAAATCCACCGCTTAAGGGTGTTTTGCACTAAATATTAATGTATGATTCAGTATTGCACGGCAAGTAATTTCCTATAAGGAGAGCGCCGAGCTCCAGGCGTCTCGACTTCCTCAATCTGACTCCAGCCATAACTGGAATACTTTCCGTCGCTAGGTAGGTACTCTAGGTAGATAAGCTGATCTGCAGCCGTTCTCAGTAATGGCAGCCCTGGAGGCTGACATAGTGTATGTGTAGACTACACACACATGGCATGACGATGACAATGCAATAGTATTACATCGGCTGTCATAATGGACTTACAACAGCTCTTTCACCTTGTGATAATCGGAATAAAATAAATGTTATCCATATTGTACGTCATACTTGAGTAGGTAAAGAAATTATAGCCTCAAAATGAGCAACTTGTATAAAACTTAAACAATAATCAGCTAAACAATTGATAAAATGTAAAAGCTTGAACTTTTAAGTCACTTTTAGTACAATGTACAAGTTTGTAATGGTAGTTAAATTTTGATAAACCGAACTAAGGCAGTATTGCACGTGATTGTCACTAAAACAATAAGAAATCACGCTTTTAAAGTTAAACAATTACTCAACATTATCAAGATATAAACACACGCATAATATAAACTAACACAGCATAAACATGCAGGAAATGCGTCTTATCGAAGAGCTGGAACTCTCAATGGGCCGGAAAGTATGAGGCCGGAGGACAGAGATTTGATTAAGGCCTATGGTCTGTCCGCAGCTTTGCAATGCTAATCGGCCGGAGGCCCGGCTAGTGCAGAACCGTGTACAGCCAGTAATGTTCGTCGACCAATCGATTCCAGCTGTCCAATGCCACATGCATACCGATATTCCCCACCGTGATCATCGTTTGCGCTCCGATTGTTCTGATGGTGTTGGTAACGGTATTGTACAACAGAACATCATCATCACATGATGTAGGCATTCATTAGTTCTGTATACAAAAATAATACTATTAACTTGAAAAAAATAAAACAAGCGTAGATATAATATCATCGATATAAATCACTAGCAAGAGAGAATTAATATTTTCTTTCGTTTCGAACCTTTTCCATTGACTCATTACCACTATGCGAGTTGCATATAACAATACACATTGTAAGGTTAAGGATATGCAATGGTTCTAACCTTACATCACCTAACCCAACTCGACCTAAAATAATCAAACCACAAACAGGATTTTTAGATAATCATAACATTTCAACCTAAATACATAACGGTTGTAAATTACGGAAAAAGTCCAAGTAAATTGATAAAACAAGTTTCAAGTTTGTTATTGTCTCGAATTGTACTAATTATGGCCTATAATATTTTGCATGTATTGTATGTAACTACGTAAAACGTGATAACGTAGAATTGTGTTGGTGAAAAGATTTACAATTTACATTTACCATTCAATGCAGTTCAGAACAGAGGACAATGGTGTAAATAGTAATTCACACAATCAGCAAAATGCTATTGTAAAGGGTAATAGCTACTTCCCTATAAAAAAATTCGCTAAAACTTATAATGATTCTAAAAAAGAATAATAGTATATAGCTTATTCCCGCTCAATTATTCGCTTATTTAATTCCAAACTTCAAAATCAAACATTTTAGCGACAAATTTAAATTTGATAATTTTAGTTTAGTATTATTGGATTATAATAATAAACAGGAACGTCTTAATGTCATTTATAGCTTCCACACAGACGATGGTTGTACCAGAGAGAGAGAGAGAGACGACGTTCTGGAGACAGTTGTGGTCAGTGTGGCCAACTGTCTGTGAACAACCCGCTGTCCGCTGTCCGGCTCAGTGTTACCAACGTTGTAACAGTTAAACTTAAGCTTGCTATCTGCTAATTGTTAATAGAATTTACTAACATAAAATAGAACTATAACCCTGAGCGATATAATATTAAAATTAATTATTTTGTTAACAAGCACAATTTTTAGTTTGACCGACTTAAATGAAAATAAAATTTAAAAATTTGGCTCAGCTTCAATAGAGATGAACAATCAAAAAAATATACAGGATGATACAGGAATAATAAAATTAAACCGACGGTTATAAGTATTAAATAAAGATTCGTATTTATATTACATGAGTTGTAACAAATTTAGATTTTATTTGATACACCCATGCTCATTTTACAAAAATAAGAACAACTAATTTTATCATAAGTAGATTACGTTTTTTTTTTAAGTAAGTCATTTATTTAACTTAACTTAGAAAATAAAATTAAATTAATGATTAGCTGGAATAATGCTGCACCATAATAGAAATGATTCTGGAAGTACAGACAAGTTAGACAATGTTTTTAATAAACATCCATAAATTTTTTTTTATAAAATTTGTCTACTTTTAAACTGTTTATTGATATTTTTACTGTCAATACTTTCTTACTAATAGCAATTTTATAGTATTAAAAATGGGATCTAATAAAATGGGTTCTGACTCAAAAAGTACAATAACTAAAATAAAACAGTGTTGTAGGTACAACAATGTAAATGACAAAGGCAAGACTAACCCTTTTTAAGGACTTGGGGGTTGGTATTTGTTGTTTAACTTACCGGTCCAAATTGTTCGAAGTAGTTTTTGACGTCTTCTAATGTCGTTGGCGCCGATAAGCCTCCAACGAAGATCTTTTTAGTCCTCGTTACCATCTGAAACAAAACAACAAAACATTCATTATTATTTGAATAATGTTTTTCTAAACAGTCCCATCCTCGGATTCCTTGATTCCGATTATATGATTGTAATTTGTATGGAGACCTTGGTTTATACGAATAATGTTAAAATGTATTACTTTCATTCTTAGGTTATACTCAGTATTAAATATTTATTCCATGGACATATTTTGAATTTGCAGTGTTCTAAACATAAACATTATCAAATTACTTTAAAAAGTTCGTTGTTTATAACTTTGGCAATCTACCGCGTGTTTAGCCTCAAAATAATCTGTAATCTACCAAACGATTCCAAATTACAACAATTCACATGCATAATCACCGATGGTAATAAGGGGCGTAAAGTTTAATCAAGTTGTTGTAGATTTGCATGCATTACTGCAGAGATATCGGGCCGATAAATGATTAAAATAAAGTGATACATGGATAGGAAGCGGGATAATAGCGCTTACAGTAGCAGCGGGCTTACAGATAAATTTCAATTAATAGTGCATATTGGGCGGAGTATTGTGGCAGGATAATACCGGGATATCCGGCAACCCTTATAATTTATCCCAGTCATTGCGAATTGAACCGGGAACATAAATCGGCTCACATTGCGACATTGTTCTTCCAACTTGGTCGCGGCATAGTTTGTGTGACGGACGACCGCGGGCCAGGCTGCTTTGTGTCGGTCCTCAGGTCACTGGCTATGGAACCATAACAACCACATTTCGGCATTGTTCTTCCAACTTGGTCGCGGCATAGTTTGTGTGACGGACGACACGCGGCCCAAGCTGCTTTGTGTCGGTCCTCAGGTCACTGGCTATGCAATTATAATCAACCACATTGCGACATTGTTCTTGCAACTTGGTCACGGCATAGTTTGTGTGACGGACGACACGCGGGGCCAGGCTGCTTTGTGTCGGTCCTCAGGTCACTGGCTATGCAATTATAATCAACCACATTGCGACATTGTTCTTGCAACTTGGTCACGGCATAGTTTGTGTGACGGACGACACGCGGGGCCAGGCTGCTTTGTGTCGGTCCTCAGGTCACTGGCTATGCAATTATAATCAACCACATTGCGACATTGTTCTTGCAACTTGGTCACGGCATAGTTTGTGTGACGGACGACACGCGGGGCCAGGCTGCTTTGTGTCGGTCCTCAGGTCACTGGCTATGCAATTATAATCAACCACATTGCGACATTGTTCTTGCAACTTGGTCACGGCATAGTTTGTGTGACGGACGACACGCGGGCCATGCTGCTTTGTGTCGGTCCTCAGGTCACTGGCTATGGAACCATAACAACCACATTTCGGCATTGTTCTTCCAACTTGGTCACGGCATAGTTTGTATGACGGACGACACGCAGGTCAAGGCTGCTTTGTGTCGGTCCTCAGGTCACTGGCTATAGAACCATAACAACCACATTGCGACATTGTTCCTCCAACTTGGTCACGGCATAGTTTGTATGACGGACGACACGCAGGTCAAGGCTGCTTTGTGTCGGTCCTCAGGTCACTGGCTATAGAACCATAACAACCACATTGCGACATTGTTCTTCCAACTTGGTCACGGCATAGTTTGTGTGACAGACGACACGCGTGCCAGGCTGCATGGCTGCGTGGCTTTGTATCGGTCCTCAGGCCACTGGCTATGGAACCATAACAACCACATTGCGACATTGTTCTTCCAACTTGGTCACGGCATAGTTTGTATGACGGACGACACGCGGGCCAGGCTGCTTTGTGTTGGTCCTCAGGCCACTGGCTATGGAACCATAACAACCACATTGCGACATTGTTCTTCCAACTTGGTCCCGGCATTTTAGTTGGTGTGATGGAACACGCGGGCCAGGCTGCTTTGTGTCAGTCCTCAGGTCACTAGCTATGGAACCATAACAAACACATTGCGACATTGTTCTTCCAACTTGGTCGCGGCATAGTTTGTATGACGGACGACACGCGGGCCAGGCTGCTTTGTGTTGGTCCTCAGGTCACTAGCTATGGAACCATAACAAACACATTGCGACTTTGTTCTTCCAACTTGGTCGCGGCATAGTTTGTATGACGGACGACACGCAGGTCAAGGCTGCTTTGTGTTGGTCCTCAGGTCACTAGCTATGGAACCATAACAAACACATTGCGACATTGTTCTTGCAACTTGGTCACGGCATAGTTTGTATGAAGGACGACACGCGGGCCAGGCTGCTTTGTGTTGGTCCTCAGGTCACTAGCTATCGAACCATAACAAACACATTGCGACATTGTTCTTCCAACTTGGTCACGGCATAGTTTGTATGACGGACGACACGCGGGCCAGGCTGCTTTGTGTTGGTCCTCAGGTCACTAGCTATGGAACCATAACAACCACATTGCGACATTGTTCTTCCAACTTGGTCGCGGCATAGTTTGTATGATGGACGACACGCGGGTAAGGCTGCTTTGTGTTGGTCCTCAGGCCACTGGCTATGGAACCATAACAAACACATTGCGACTTTGTTCTTCCAACTTGGTCGCGGCATATTTTGTATGACGGACGACACGCAGGTCAAGGCTGCTTTGTGTTGGTCCTCAGGTCACTAGCTATGGAACCATAACAAACACATTGCGACATTGTTCTTGCAAATTGGTCACGGCATAGTTTGTATGACGGACGACACGCGGGCCAGGCTGCTTTGTGTTGGTCCTCAGGTCACTAGCTATCGAACCATAGCAAACACATTGCGACATTGTTCTTCCAACTTGGTCACGGCATAGTTTGTATGACGGACGACACGCGGGCCAGGCTGCTTTGTGTTGGTCCTCAGGCCACTGGCTATGGAACCATAACAACCACATTGCGACATTGTTCTTCCAACTTGGTCACGGCATAGTTTGTATGACGGACGACACGCGGGCCAGGCTGCTTTGTGTTGGTCCTCAGGCCACTGGCTATGGAACCATAACAACCACATTGCGACATTGTTCTTCCAACTTGGTCACGGCATAGTTTGTATGACGGACGACACGCGGGCCAGGCTGCTTTGTGTTGGTCCTCAGGCCACTGGCTATGGAACCATAACAAACACATTGCGACATTGTTCTTCCAACTTGGTCACGGCATAGTTTGTATGACGGACGACACGCGGGCCAGGCTGCTTTGTGTTGGTCCTCAGGTCACTAGCTATGGAACCATAACAACCACATTGCGACATTGTTCTTGCAACTTGGTCACGGCATAGTTTGTATGACGGACGACACGCGGGCCAGGCTGCATTGTGTTGGTCCTCAGGCCACTGGCTATGGAACCATAACAACCACATTGCGACATTGTTCTTCCAACTTGGTCACGGCATAGTTTGTATGACGGACGACACGCGGGCCAGGCTGCTTTGTGTTGGTCCTCAGGCCACTGGCTATGGAACCATAACAAACACATTGCGACATTGTTCTTCCAACTTGGTCACGGCATAGTTTGTATGACGGACGACACGCGGGCCAGGCTGCTTTGTGTTGGTCCTCAGGTCACTAGCTATGGAACCATAACAACCACATTGCGACATTGTTCTTGCAACTTGGTCACGGCATAGTTTGTATGACGGACGACACGCGGGCCAGGCTGCTTTGTGTTGGTCCTCAGGTCACTAGCTATGGAACCATAACAACCACATTGCGACATTGTTCTTCCAATTTGGTCGCGGCATAGTTTGTATGATGGACGACACGCGGGCAAGGCTGCTTTGTTTCGGTCCTCAGGTCACTGGCTATGGAACCATAACAACCACATTGCGTTGGTAACAACCTGTAGATCGACGATTGTTCTTCTCAACGTGTATATTGGGGGTTTCTATCCATTTTTACAAACCATATTAAATCCCTTGTTTTATCAGTCATACTTGTTAATTTATGTAAAACCCTCTCGAAAAAACACATTAATTTCATTATTGATAAAAATAAAAAACGATTATTCAATATAACAGGTCACATGGTCTTAAATGGAGGTGTGTTAACAAAACAAATTTCAGAAAATGTCTCTACAATACCACGAAAAACAATGTCTCATCTAAAGTAAAGAGCAGTTTTGAAGGATGCCATGTCTTTATAACTAGATTGTTATACAATAATGCCCTTATACTAAGAAATATTGGGATATTATCTTATTGGGGCAGTAATATTTCACTAAAAATTACTGAATTGAATAATACCGTAGTGAAATGTACGTATTGTCATGTTACGAATAAGGTTCATAATAGACTTTTTAATGCTGGAGTAGATATCCCTTTCACTGTTTTATTGAAAAAGAGCATCTTTGAACAGACCATTCAAAACTTGAAATTCCTCTTTGCTCTTTAGTATTTGGGTTCTGCTATAATTAATGTAAAACTCCACACGCTTTAACTTTCAGTTTTACTTTCATTTTGGCTAGGTTTATCGTTTGAATATTCGACAGAAATCAGTAGTTTCAACATTAGCATTTACTGTTGATGGCTCCACTAAACTAGGTTTATTTTGATTAAAAAACTGGCCACAGCTTTAAAATGGGAATGGTCTATTCATGAATAAAGGTTTTAATAAACTAATGCGTTCATGTTTCCTTGGATTTATTTTTAAGACATTATTAATTGTTTCCGCCTTCAATTTCATCTAAATTATAAATAAATAAAACCTCTATTACTATATCTTTGCGCCAATTTTACGTTTTATAAGGAATAATAATATAAGCAATGAAAGTCTTCAACTATACCTTAATTGTGTAAACAGTAATTCAACTAAGCGACTATTTTGTTGGGTTGGACCAGCCTAGCGGTTGCGGGTACAATGCTATTTGCTGATTCGGATTTTTAATGAAAGGTCGAGTTAAATGATGGTAACCACGTTGTTAGCTAGGACCTCTTGTCAGATAATGGTCATTTGCCTGCCACTGTGCAGTTCCAAGCTAGAGGAGGTTAAAAAGTCGCGACACAGTTCACGGTGTTAATAATAATAAGTAATCATCGGGATGGACAATTT